AAATTGTGCATCTCAGAATTACAAACAGATATAGATTGCACATTACAAATAGTAAATAACTGCTTTAAAGTGACACTAAACTCAACAATTAAAGCTTAAAAGAGAACTATGGGGTAAGTGTTTTTCCCCATAGTTCTCTTAAGGGTCACGGGAGGATATATATTAACCTCCTCCCGTGACCCAAAGCTCAGTATATCGTGGGCTATTGCCCGCAATATACTGAGACCGCCGCAGCCGGGACGGATCCCGACAATGCTGTCCAGATCCACCCAGCTGCGTGAGTGACTGCTGGCTCTGCCTATCTAGAGCCAGAGCCAGCTGTACACGTCCCCTCCCCCGTCCATTCCTCCAGTCAGCACCGGGGGATCGGAGTGGGGGAATCCCTGCAGGGTGCGGTGACTGGCAGTCACCGCTCTTTGCAGGGAGATGATCGAGAAGTGAGCGAGCGACGGTATGCGTTCGCTCACGTCTCGATCTATTGAGCCGACGTGTGACAGTTTCAATGTCACATGTCGGCTCGAACTATGAGGATGAGTGATATTCACTCACCTCATAATTCTCCTTTAAAAATGCATTCAAGTACATTAACCATTAAGAAGAATGTAGCTTTTTTGTGTATCACTCAGCTATAGATCCTCAAATCATCTCTGAGTTTGTGCTGACACTGTCCTTCCTTCTGGCGGGTGGCTACGCTTGTTCCCCATGGTTCCTGTGTGTGTTGTAAAGTAGCCACAGCTCCAAGTTTCCTCCTGGGATGGACTACAATCTCATGTTTAATTTACTAATTTGTATTGAGCTTGACGTCCATTATGGGAGCGAGCTCGGAGTGGTGGCTATTTTACATCACACACACAGGGACCATGGGGAGCAAAAGTAGCCACCCTCCAGGAGGAAGGACAGTGTCAGCACAAATACAGAGATGATGTGAGGATCTACAGCCCAGTGATACACAAATAAGATACATTTTTGCTAATAGTTAAGGTACTTGCAGGCATTTTTAAGCTTTAATTCCTGAGTTTAGTGTCACTTTAATGCAGCCTGCCAGATTTGTTTTGACCCCATACTTTGGAAAAAGCCCCCCTTTCTAAGCACCTTGGGGTGTCTTAAACCTGGCATGCTGTGTATACAATATTTCCGCAGTGCACTGTGTGCCTCTCTGCTGCTTTATTGCATCAGCTAATGTGTGGGTGGCAGAGATGAAACTTTGGGACTGGAAGGTGCCATTTGGAAATTGAGTGGAGGCCCCTGGGGCATTCAAACAATACAGACAGATTGTGCAGGAATGTCTCAGAGCGTACTTTTAATCCCTTAGGCCAACATTTACATTTCAAACCCCCTTAAGACTTGTTTTAAAGATAAATTCAAGACAAAATTTGTTATTTTGTTCTGGATAGTGAAAGGGTTAGAGTCCCTGTCAGTTGTTTTTCTTACTGTCCGTCTCGCTATTGGAGAGATATCCCCTCTTCCTGTCAGAACAGGAAATGATTGATGATATTTCCAACAGCTATACAGACAAAAACGCATATTAATAGAGTGTGGAAGAGTTATAACTATTCACAACGTTTTTAATGTTATCTGTGCCTTCCTGTCCCAGGGACAGTTGCTAGCCCATTTTTTGTCCTGGTGTCACAGGGACAGGAAGGGAGGGAACATTTTCCCAATGGGATCACAGACAACATTAAAACCTTACAGAAATGTTACCTCCCCAAAAGGATCCAAAACTAAAAATAAATTGGCTGGACATAGCCTTTAAACTCACCAACGTGATAAGAAAATGTATGTTAATGGTATGGAAAGAAATTATACGGGGAAATTATTCAGCATACTGTGTATCTAAAATATCTACAAATACCTATGGTGCACATGGCGTGTGGTAACCTACCCACACAAAAAAAAAAAAAAAAGATTTCTGTATGTTTTGACAAAATTGCAGCCCCCTGATTTTGTAATTCTAGTAACTGCCATCAGGCCTTTAATAATTCATCAGTTCATTTTATTTGCATTATAATAGTATGATTAGCAACTGCATATTAGTTGTAGTATAGTTATACTCTTTCCACTCAATAAATCTCATTAGATAGAAGTCATTTTTATTCCTTCTTCCTTTACATTGCCCATCTTCAGGACAAGTCCACTTTTAGTGAACATGTCCTATAATAAATCCCCCCACTGCAGTATGCAGTATTAAATACTCCCATTCCAGCAATCTTTACTGTGTGCCCTGCCGAGCATTGCACAGCCTTCCTTACAAAAATACATCATGGCCCAATTTGTTCCCGTTGTGAGCCGTATGACTGCTGTCCTGCAGAATACGGCTGACCCATGGGAATGTGTGACATTTTCATCGATTATAACACTTCTTATAACACTTTTAACACTTCATATGTCTACTTCTTATAGAAAAAAACACATTTTGTATATGTAGTAAACTGGCGTGGTTTTAGCTTGTCCAGCTTTTTGCTGCTGTAACTGGAAAAAAAATCCTCTGGAATTATAAACAGACTTTGGTTATCCCTGACAAATTCCAGTGATTACAAAGTAAATCCTTTAAGACCTTTGGCTTTGTAATATCATTTTCTATGGCATACGACCACTAGATGTCGCCAAACACAAAGGCAACTTTTCAGGAGCTTTCACAAGCTGAGAACTATGGAACATCCTTTGTTTATATTAAAGTGTAACTCCGCCTTCAGCGCAAAAAAGGAAATTGCAAAGGAGTATTCATTTTAAGGAAACTGATACACCGATCTTTGTAAAATAGATACATATATATGGCACCCTAGCTTACAGACTTTTCTAAAAACCTCTACAGTCCTTATATGACAAAGGATATTTGTTTTCCAAATTTGGTAACCAATTGACTAGAGCTATTTTCTATACCTTAGCAGCACCCTACTATAGTAGATTAGGGCTACTGAAATTATATAAATCCTGTATAATAATAATACTCAGAGCTTATTCTGTGAACGTTCTTTAAAATTGCTAGAAAATATCTAAAGCAGTTAATTTATTTATATAGTAAAATATATAGATATCACGAAGGTGTTACCATTTTACAAAGTACACAGAACCATTTGTATCAGACCCTGTCCCAATGGAGTATACAATCTAAATACAGAATTTAGCTGTAAATAGTCTATTCATATTACTAGCATAGAAAGGGGAAGAGAATTGCAGAACCATACATGCATTCTCTTGTGGTTTTCAAAGCTTACTAGAATGTAAATCTTATTTAAATCTCTAAATTCTAAGTGTTAATACAGACCCTAGAAGCCAGGTTATCTTTGGCAGGAATTTGCAGCAAGAGTGTATGGTATTTTTAGAGCCCATGTTTTATTTGCACAGTTGTAAGTTATAATGAAGACATAGATTGTGTATTCCTCTGAAAAAAACAATACAAGACAGCCAAAAACTGACCCAGCCAGCCATTGCAAATCTCCTCCTTCTTGCAGAAAAACTGCTGACAGGTTTTAAACTCATTAAAGCGTGTCAAACCCACTTCTTACTAAAAATAGCCCTCCAAATTGGTGGCACTGGAAAGAGATCCCTTTCCCTTTGCCCTAAGAAAGCCAAAAACTCACCAGGGGGTGGGGTTACTAGCCCCTGTGACATCTGAGCTGGGCCGTCATGTCACTGCCCCCAGATAAATAAGAAGAGCTCGGCCAGAGTAGAAGGACCACAAGCTCAAGCCCTCCTCAGGACATCGTCTCAGCTCCCTGCTCTTCACCCCGTCCAAAGCTCAAAATGGTGGGTGTCATAGCACGTTTGGCTAGTAGCACACTTTAGTTCTTTATAACTTCAACTAGGACTCTACAAACACTTAATTACTTTTCTTGGAAGGCTATGATCCTTGTTTTACTTTTATGCAGTCGTAACTTTTTCTTATATAAAGAATCAACACTTTTTCGCCAGTGTCTATGACAATAATTTAAAATCTCTTTGGTAATCAAATATACCCATACTACAACTAATTGAAAATAGATTTATTTAAATCTGAAAATAGATTATTATAAACAGGAAACAAAATAACTAATTTTACATTTATAAAAGATAGAAATATAGGACCATATATCTCAGTCCCCTACTTTTACTTGTAGTGTGGAATTCAAACACATATTATAAATTAAAATATTATAA